TTACTTAGAACACCTAATATTAAATCCAGCTATTTTTTCTCTTTTCGACTTTTCCTAGGTATAAAAGGTTATAAGGTCGCTACAGCGATTTATATTTAAATTGCCCTCTAACTTCCAATATTGTTTAAAGATCCAAATATGAATTATTGTTCCATTATATTTCTTACAAATAATTGATTCAAAACCCTTTAGGGGACAGCAAATTTGATAGATATCTTGAGTTAAGTTTTTCCCGTACCTTTATATTTTTTTGATAGAAAATGGGCATCTGAGGCATCTTAACTTTCTATCTGATCATACTCAGTTAGTATGTATATATAATTATATTTTTATATATATTATATTTTGCATTTTAAGGTTTCACAGTTCTAGTGTTCGTGTCAATGAATGTATTTGTGTTGTTTTGCAAAAATGTACTCAGAAACCAATTAACTGTTGTTCCGCTCTGCTAAAAGGAAACCTGATACTCAAATACGGTTTATCAAACCTATTGCATAATATACTATTCCAATGAAAAAAAATTTTTTCCTGATTATTCTATTGTAGACGTGTTTTGGAATCGACTTACCAATAATAACGCAGAAATTGACGCTGTCACAACTTTTAAAGGCTCAAATGTCTTCTTTGTTTGTAAACTAACATTTGTGTGTTTTTAATACGCAATAGTAGACAACTTACTACTCCACTTTGCGTTTGTTTAGTAGACTCTACGAAACACCGTTTAAAGAAACGGTAATAACTCAGATATTCCTTATTTCCTTCCATTGTACTAATTACTAACACTTAGTAAAAAAAACATCATCTTTTGTCAACAACTCTTTTAAATCTAATATATAATAAAAGCAGAAGTTTTTATATATTAAGATAGTTATTTACTCATGCAGCTATTTAGAGTGTGTAATCTAGGGCCTGTAAAATGCAAATTTTGGCTTGGCAAAGGATGAGGAAATACTGATACCAACAAAATATTCTTGTAATGTACACAAGTTCGATCACAAGAAAAAACTGATGGTTACTGGTACGGGTACTAAAATAATGCTTTAGCTTGCGCTAGTTTTTTATTATTTAATTAGTTCAGAATTTGTGAGTGGCATCTTTATTTTATAACAACTTCCCACTCGAAATGTAGTCAGAAAAATGTTGGCAGATACTCTCGCAAACATTAAGGTATTCAAAGAACTGCAATTGTGGCAAACTTTTAAAATTATAATAACCAAAAATTAAATTAATTTTTAATAAAACTCCTTAAATATTTTGTCATTTTCGATACGCATCCCATTCGTTTTTTGAATTATTTTACCTTACTGTCACATAATTGACAAATCAGTTATGAAAACTTAAATAGTTCTTAAATGAAACTCTTATTGAATCTAAAATTTTGTATTTAAGGCTAACCAACTTATAATTTATGATTTTCGTGAATCACACAGATAAATACAATTTTGTCCATTGATATTCATTTAAGTTTAGACCGGTAATTCAACGATGGGGTGCTTTTTTTATTAAGTACTCAGCTCGGGTGTTGAGTTTGATTAGTCCAAGGACTGCGTAGCCCTCGGCACACCAAATATCCCCAGTTAAACACCCTTCGAGGAACCCATACTTTATTATTCGTTTATCTCAATTTACCGAATATAAAATATCCCACCACCGCTAAAAATCCAATTATCCTCTGCCGTATTTATTTTAACGGTAGGAAAATTGCTCGTAGAGTAAACGGGCAAAGCTATACGGGCGATTCCCTGCTGATTACCGAAGTAAACGTGACTGTAATCCAAAAAGTTGGTTAATTAATCGGAAACTACACGGACAAAGGTCATTTTTAAATTGCCCCACTGGCTAACCAGTCAACCAGCTGACCACCGGGCGTAATGAAAATTTGAGGTCGCAACTAGACTCTGATTATATGTATCCGTAATGCAATTAGTCATAGTGGTTTGCTGGCGAATACGAATGTGCTACCGAAATGCACGTACATGTAATTAGAGGTTTTCTACACATACGGTCGCGAAACAACCGTGTGGTTTCTTGTTTGCTTCCTCGCCAAATGAGAAAAACGAATTTTAAGTAAAACGAATGAACACGTTACTCAAAATTAGCCTCCGGTTAATTTGCTATACGAGTAATTTGCATGCAACGGGATGTTAAAGTTTTAATAACAAAATTTCAAAGGTTAAATTGCGAACAAGCAGTATTTAACTTATTTTACTTTTGACTCAGATATCGGAGTCTCTGTTAAACTTAATTTTAAGTTGCACAACCTCTAGTTAAGCAAAAACTAACGGTCATGGAAAAAGTATAGTAGGCAACACATTTGTGGTAAACTTTTTAAGTCACTCGTTTTTGAAATTCTCGTTCCGGTGGTGCCAAATAGGCTCGTGACTCAAATGCCATTTACCCCACTTGTTGCATAAGATACTGTTATAACTGTGTTGGTGTTGTTTATTAGGGATTGAAAATAACTTTATGTAGACAAAACCGAACCTAACTTTTAAAACAGCAAATAATAAAATAATTGTTAATCTTAAGGGTTTCTTCATTCATACAAACGTCATACGGAATTACACTTCAGATTTTTTTTTCATCGAAAAAAGAAATTTACCTTGACAAATCGATTTCCTGACTTTTAGATAGTTGCCTTCAAAAATTCCTAGTCCGTACAATGAAGAGACGAAGAACTTTTCATTAAGTTATCCAGTTATCCGGTTCAGAACTCACAATTGCAAGTTACTTTATAATTTACAACAGTTTGATACTAGATTTTGCAAAGGTGCGGTGAAAGCTTAGCAAACGACATGTTGAATAACACACACTTACGCACATGTTCTCGGCAAACAAAAGGATAGTGATTAAAGTGCGGCTTATCTATTGGTACGTGGTACAAAATGTTCCTCTATCCAAATGGTCCAAATCCAAACCAAAAGTGGATTTTTCATTTTTGTTTAAATAGTGGAATAGGTCATTTCATTTTACTAACTCACTTACTTAAACCATGTTTTTCGTGGATGTTTTCGTATAAGATTCAGTAGAAGTTACGGTACCAAAAACGAAAACCTAATATACTAATCTAAGAGCTGCTTCGTTTTGTAAAATATGGAAAACACTGAATCTCTAGATTTAAATACTGGAGACTAAGGTGATTACAAATAAAAGAATTATTCTAAATTTGAAATAAATGTGCTGCGTTGGCCGCAAATGGGATTTATGCCACCACTATCTATCGAACATACCAATCGGTAATAGCTTCGGTCGTATATCATGGAAAATTTATCTGCCAGACACTAAAATTTTTCATCGCTGAATTCTTTGAAGTGCTTAAATGGTAAAAGACATTAATCTTAAGAGGAGGTTAAGTTTTAGCTGCTTCCGCATACCTCACTATCACCTTCGGAATTATTTAAGATAAATCTCATCGAATGCGAATTAAATGGGAATGCCACTCACAGGCAAGTTAGAATTTATACTATTGAGTATTTAACTTACTTTGTTCGAGAAAATTGCATCGCACCACCACGTGATTTTCACATTTTTAATTATATCTATAATAAAAGTTTCCATATTAATTTTTGAAACTTAGCGCTTATGCGTCTCAAGTTTGAAATTTCATAATGAAATATGTATACAGATAATGCAATGTAACTGTCTAAAAATTTTAATTTGCACTCATCTGATGTTCAGTGCGTCGATAATATTGTGGTCTAGTTGAGTGGGGTGGCATTTGGATAATAACTGTTTATATATCCATTAGATATACAGGGTGTCTGTTATTTTATAAGTGTTCAATATTTCACACACTGATTTATCAAATATTTTTAAGGTAAAAAGTTACATGTCTAAAATATTTATTTTTTGACATATAGAATGTCCTATTGTTTATTGTTATTTTTGTTTTGCTGCATAATTTTGTAAATATTTTTTTTATATGCGAAATTAAAATTTGTTCGTAATTTTAAGGTTAATAAGTTTTTGTACCACTTCGTGTTACACTTTTTGTAAAAAATAATGGACTTACCAATCATTTGTAAGGGAAAAACCTTTTAGCTCAAAAAATACTTAAGAAATCACACTGTGAATACCATCCTATATGGAGGCCTTTGCATATTCCAATAAGACTGCGGCTTTCAAAATTCTAGTCAGATCACATTAATTAAATTTTCAGGGAAAAAACGACTTACGTGTGTGGAGAATCGCGGTTTATAATAGTATATTATGCAACAAGTGTGGTAAACGGCACTTGAGTCACGAGTTTATTTAGGACGAGCCGAGCGCAGCGATGCTTAATAAACGAGTGACTTAAAAAGTTTAGCAATCGTGTTGCATACTATACTTTATCTACTACCGTTAGTTTCCGGGTACATTTTTGCAAAACAATACGATCCGATATATATATATATATATATATATATATATATATATATATATATATATATATATATATATATATATATATATATATATATGATGACACTATACTCCGGGATATCATCCGTTCGCTCGTTGAACTCCGACTGGAATCATGCATCCGACTGGAATCCTGCAAATCCTGCATCCGACTGGAATCCTGCAGACGTTTCGCCAAAATCTCACTTGGCATCTTCAATGCTCGCGCTCCGAAAACACTTCGAACAACGAGCGAACGGATGATATCCCGGAGTATAGTGTCATCACATTTTTCCATCCGTGAATCAATACGTGAGAATATATATATATATATATATATATATATATATATATATATATATATATATATATATATATATATATATATATATATATATATATATATGTATATATATATATATATATATATATATATATATATATATATATATATATATATATATATATATATATATATATATATATATATATATATATATATATATATATATATATATATATATATATATATATATATATATATATATATATAAATTATTGTAATTTATCAGTATAGATCATCCATGATCAGACTGAAAAATGTGTTATATTTGTTACAGCTTCGCGTATTCGATACGAGATCACAAGCGGTAACATAGGTGGCGCTTTTGCTGTAAAGAATATGACTGGGGCCATTTACGTTGCTGGAGCGTTAGACTATGAAACCAGGAAACGGGTAAGTATCTATACCGCACATTTATACTCATTTTGTTATACACATTACAGTGAATTATTGTTGTTAAATACCGTGCTATATTGAAATTTATGTCGGGACGTAGACGTCTTGTGACGGTTGTTTTCCTAGCGCTATCTACGTCTAAGTGTTTAACGATTCTACTCCGAACGATTTATGATGCTTTTGCTCAGTTACCGTAAACACGAGGGTTGTTTTATCCCTGGAAAGTTTTGTATATTTTTCGTATGCAAATGTAAAAGATTTATCACGTGTTGACTTTGGACCGTAAGCAGCAGCTCAATTTCAATGATGCAATTTTACAAAATTTTCTCATTTTCTAGATGCGTGTGTCTCCATCAAAAGTCTCATCTTTTACCAAGTTAGCAAGAGTGGACCCAATTCTTTATTTGTTTCAAAATAATTTTTCTTATATTGTAAGAAGTTTAACAAGACTTTCCAGTAGCTTTCAAAAAGTGCCTACTTATTTAAAATCGTACCCACAGTACGAGTTGAGACTGGCAGCATCAGATAATCTAAAGGAAAACTACACGACGGTCGTGATCCACGTGAAAGACGTCAATGATAATCCTCCAGTGTTCGAGAGACCCACATATCGGACTCAGATAACAGAAGAAGATGATCGTAATCTTCCGAAATCGGTTTTGAGGGCGAGTGTCGTTCGAAAATTTATTAAAATGATACTCGGAGGGATTGCTTCCTATAAAACTTCTAACCTGAGATAAGTTTATTCGACTATGCGGCAGAAACTCGGGCAGAAACTTTCTTCAGTTTCATTCTACAATCACTAGTTTTAATCTAAATATTCCTCGTCAGACCCAGTTGCTGAGCATCATTTTTAATCAGTTTCCAAAGAATGCATATACGACAGGTAATGTTGACTAAGTTTTTTGGATATCTTCTCCGTTTATGCTCAGTCCTTTTGGTACACCACTGTAAACCTCAGCATGTATTGTTGCCCATCATGCCCTCCATATCTTCCGGCTTTGGTTAGTTTAATTCACTTTAATTTTGTTTCCACTATTACGCTTATTTTCTGAAATACGAAAAACCAGCGTTTTTAACAACTTCCCTCCGAAACGCACTTTTATTTACTAGGTAGAAATCATCTTTCACTAGTTTTGGGGTCTGATATGATTCCAAAACGGAAAGCTTTATATATTTTTAACTACGTACTGTTTAAATTTCTGTTGATTAAAATTTTACTACCGGTCATGTGGATCCGACCGACTAGCTCGATAAATATAAAATTGCAAGTTTACGGAGCCTAATTATAAATCCTCTTGGAAAGCCTTTGGGTAATTTATGCCACTGATAACTTTAATAAATAAATTGCAAATCTGCCGGTAGGCATGACAGCTTGATTATTAAGTTTTACCAGTTCAATTAAGAGAAGAGAATATCGAGCACTTGGTAAAAATTGGTTACGAAGTTTTTAAGCCCACTTTCACTTGCATTCCTTCAAAATCAATAATTACTTAATTTGAGATTACTGGTATAATACTAAAATCAAGAAAATATAATAAGCTTCATAGAATAGCGCTCTGTTTTAGCCATATTGTTTTTTGATAGTGTTTATAGGTTACAAAGGCTTTCCGCCCGCTCTTGTTTTTAAAATGAAAATAAAAAGATAAATAGAACACAATTTTATGTTCAGAACGTTCTTCATAAAGTAACTCTTATCACGTCGAGTATTTATAGTGAAGTGATAGAGAAATCCTTCCCATAGTTTCTTCGTTACCTTCGTTAAAACTTCCAAATTAGTAAATTAATTTTGTAAATTAATGAGTGCATTGCGCAATGTGTCATATGTTTTCATTAAGAAAAACTATACTAAATAACGCCCTGCTTATCGGTAGAATTGTTTTAAAAATAAGCAGTCAAATCTTAACTGGCTATTCCGAAAATTTAAATAAAAAATGTGTTCTTTTTACATTATTCCTTAATTTAGGGGGTAGTGTATATTCCACGTATACACAGAAGATAATAATCTGCTTGGTAACAATCAATAATTTGACCCTTTGAAGTAAATTTACCCATTCCGTTCAGAACTTTACATTCAGCTGTATCAGTGTTATTCGATCGGACATTCGCAAGCGCACAGTCCCGTAGCGCTTCACTATTCGTACCATTTTAAGCGCGTATAACGAAATTCGCCCGCATTCAAATCGTTCCCGAACCATTTATCTTTCATAAACACCGTTGACATCCGTGCAGGAAATGGAAGTCATGCGATACACGAGGAGGTGACCGGAGGCAATCTCGACCGTTTGTTATTTGCTGCTCGAAAACTTGGCATGTGTTGTTTTTGGATGACGCGTTTGCCGCTAGTCGTTGTTACCACCACCAATGATTTTACGGCACCACATTTTATCATTTAGCATGGTTAGCTTGGATGAAGTTTGTTAAAGTGCTATCGCGCTCATTTACGGCTACTGCCGCTGAAATGGGACTAAAATAGGTGCATTAATGAACCAAACTCAGTTGTTTTGCAATTCTAACGCATCGAAAATAATAATTCTTAATAAACGCAAAGAAAAGAGTTATTAATAAGTAATAATCAAGAACTAATATTTTAACTATAGTTAATGTGACATCTGCAAAAATTTGACTAATTTGTGTGATGGGACCAGACTGTTGCTGATTCTCTGAGAAAATACCATGGCACTACCATAGATACCATAAAACCCCGAACTGAAACTGAACAAATATATTTATGAACCATAAAACAAAACCAAAAATACATTAGTTCTTGTTTTTGAATATCATTTCAGTATGTATGTACAGAGAGGTTTCAAAGTGATAACCAAAACGTAGATCATTCAGTCGTTTCTTTTGTGGCCGATATTTGTAACGATGATATTTTAATTTCGCCTGTAGTCCCTCTAGACATTAGTTTTAGTTTAGATTACTAATTAATTATTTTAGAAGTGTAATTACATATGCCGTGAAAACTTTAAATTGTTTTCGTTAATATAAATATGTTTCGTTTGCTGCTCCATGAATACAAGTGGCATTGAATTTATAATGACACTGTGCACTATGACACTAGCACTTTTTGCCAGATCTGTTACTGTTAAGTAAAGTAATCCTCCCCATCAACATCTTTTTCCTTGCCCATCTTGAGACGCACGAAAACTTCTGGCCCCAACTTCGAGAAAAGTAAATCCCGGGTCACATTCATAACAGGCAAGGGCAGCGAGTTCCGTGTAAACAAGAAAGTTAATTTGCAAGTAAAGCGGCGGCTTCCTTAACTTTTTAGTAAATTTACGATGACGCAAGTGTGGCGAAACATCGAGTGAATAACTTTGATGTTGTGTTCTTTGATAGATTGGGGTTTATGTTAGTGAATGGCGGTTTCCTGCTTAAATTGTTCACAAACTGGGCGCAAACCACTTTAAGTGTATAATTATTTTATTAAACCTCTTGCACTTTATATGTTACCATATGCATTACTTGGATAATCTCAAGTTTTAATTAAAATGGCTTCTTTCTTTGTAATTAGAGTTTTAAAAAGTAATGTTAATACGAGTAGCTCAGTTAAAAGCTTTCAAGAAATTTTTTAGGATCACTTTCTTCTGATTCATTACAGTGCAGACATGTATACGACATTATAACAGGGAGATATGCCTATTGAATTGGAAGAAGAGTGTGCATCTTAAAAGAATCAAAAATTGTTTAATTCTTGGTGACTTAGTTATAGTAGCAAAGAATGAAAAAGACAGTAAAATCAGTACAGCAATATCATTTAAATTTAGTGCCATTTCTAGTGGATGTACTACTCAATCCTAAGACTAGTACTAAAGATTTTGGATTTGGTTGGTTGGGTTTTTTGCCACATTTTAAGAAAACATCATAAGGCCTGAACACCAGTCATTTTTTTTAGGCAAACTAGTGTGTTAATAATTAGAATAAGTAAAATAATAAATACGTTTATTAAAAAACCTATTAGAAAACGCTGCAAACGATTTTTCTGAAATATTTGATTTATTAACGAAAAAATAGCATCATACTGAGCAGTAGAACAAGCGGACGCAGTAAAATGTCTGCCCCATTTCATAACTGATTTATTGGAATATTTAAAATGCTAAACGAGATCATATACGATTATCATTTTCCATCGTTTTTGGATATTATTCATTTGGAGTTCGGAGGCGACACTTATTTACATTTCGCAATCAAAGCGGGAATATATTTCATTTGGGCAATAGATCCAGTTTTTAATTTAAACGAATGAAAAACCGTTTTATTCGCAATATTGCTTTCAACGTATTTTGATGCAACTATAATTTAATTATTTATATATGTCACCCAAATACGTGAACGTTGAATAAATCCTATTTTGCCGAATATATGCATTTCAAAGTTTCATCTTTTATATGGTAACGAACTTATCCAAGCTGACTTCGCTATTGTGTATTATTTAAGTTCAATTTTTATTTTAAATTGTTAATGTTCCGTTGCGATTTTGATTTTTAATTTGTATTCTAGTTAGTTCGTTTCCTTTTGTTTTTGGTTTTGGCATGCCTGTAGTATGAGCTAACACTGGTCGCGTCGGATAGTTTGAACGAAAACTACACAACAGTAGTCGTACACATTAAGGACGTGAATGATTTGCCTCCGAGATTTAACTGTAGCTCATACAGCCGCGATATTCAGGAAGAGATACCCGCGCCGTTTCCATTAATGCAGGTTAGAATTTTGTTGTAGTAGAAAATTGGTATACCTCAGGTAAATTAAAATTACGTGTGGTTCTGCGCCCCGAGGAAAAAAAGTTGAAAAGGACATAAATACGAATCTTTGACAAGCTGCTTGTCGTCTATCGATATAATTTGTGGATCATATTCGTGCGCAGTTGCTCGAAAAGTGTTGAAGTTTACAGCGTTGTCGCTTCTGTACATGGCAACTAATTGCATCTCTTAAATCGTATGGTATAAATCACTTAAACTATTAATGCATTGACTTGAATATTTAGTTGAATTAGTTGAATTTTGAAGCTAATTTGCAAACTAAAAGTTTCTTAATAGAAACACTTTTTTTATACCTCCTTTTCACATTTTTGCTGTCCTATGGAACACTTCGATGAATATGCTAAGAAGATTAGAGTTTTGGAAATATTATCATATAGGAAGTTTGCATTTCTATTTGAAAGTTTTTATGTATGTACTAATTGATGTTTTTTTTTTAATATTTGACTAAAGAAAATTGTCCCACAACGGAAGTTACCAATACTTATAACTTGCACTGTCCGATTTTTTTATTCCACCTAATACCTAATTATACACCGATCTAGTGTTTCGGATATTACTGCACGGGTTTGGGAGCAATCGGATGTTATCGGATATCTAACCTAACGGCTTGAATTTTGACGTTTGTCAACTCTAACAGTTATGTCAGTGGATGTAAAAAAATTAATTAGAACTAAAAGTTCAGATTTTCACGAAATTATATATTTTCACATGACAATTGTTTTGAAAACACCGTGTTTTTATCAAATGTGATATTTACAAACTACCTGCTACTATTTATACCAACAAATGACATTACAACTTTAATTTATGTTGTGAGAATTTAAGTTTAATAATGGAGAGGTATTTAAAACTAACTGATCGTTAAGCAAAAATGTGTTTTTCTGAGTTTAAGTGTGTAG